TGTGTGTGTGTGTGTGTGTGTGTGTGTGTGTAGGCAGTCAATAGGCTTTAGTGATAAGCATACTTTACAGCATCTGAACATGTTGAATGGAAGACGGCATTGTATTTGCACAGAATCGCTGTTCCACTAACAAGTTACGAGTCGAATCGATCATTGTTCACTACTTACCGTCTGCAACCCCACATCGAATTATGATCACGAGGAAGCTGCTAATACTTTCCACGCTTCCACTCTGCTATTTGCAGCAGTGTGTCTGATCTTCGGCAACTCACTCTAGTTCAGTCTCAGTACGTCAGCCACAACACCAGCCACGTCATCAGCCACGGCTAACGGAACGGATGGGCGGACGAGCCATGTGGAGTAAGTGAGGTATGACGTCGCTGGCATCGGCGTTGGCGGATCGCGACTGCCGGTGTTGTACCTAAAACAGGCCCCACCAACGATGGTTTGGCGTCAGTTGTTGTGTGTCGCAGTTTGGTACAGCGTATCTGACGGCATGCAAAGCCCTCAAGGCCCGCGGTTGCAGTGACAGCAGCCAGGAACTTGGCGAATCGGGGACTGCGATTTGTGTCGCACAAGTTACAGGTTTGGAGCACGAGCTCCCGCCTGACAAAATAGCCAGGATATTTTGTGGTACGCGGTGGTACCTGGAAGATGAAGTGCTCAGTTCTTCCGAAAGAGGCGGAAGAAACGATGAGAGGGCTGTGCAAGATACCCCTCGTTCGCATGTACCCCGCTAAAGGTGGAAGGTGGCCTTTGGAGTACAGTAGGGTAGTGTTGATGCGGTTAGAGGTTCCTGTAACAAGACGGGTCGCGTAGAAGTGCAGGCTACCAATAGTAGGTCGAGTATAGTGGCCCAGTGTAGTGGCCCAGTAGAGTTCCGGAGCATCTTAATCGAGACAGGTATCCGCGATACGTACGCGGTGTTGTTGGCTCGGAACCTGTCAGCGCGAGGCGTTAGTGAGACAGACAGGACGGGATAGCATTTGCGGGATTTGTGACAGGCTCGACGGCGTGGCTATATATACTGCGGCCGGTTGCTCGGATGGCTAGCAGGGCAGGATTGAGGGGTCGATATGGAGGCGATGGACGCAGGGCTGATTAGGGCTGCTTGTTGTTGATTCTGTTGGGTTGCGGCTGCCTTGATGGCTTCGAGTGGGTTCCGAGTGGGGTCTGGATACGGTCGCCGCAGTTCTCGGCTTTGATGGTAGGCGCCTGAGTCGCGAAAAGATGCAGCAACTGGCAGCGGGCGGTATTTGCTTATTGCACATGTCTTGGAGCTTTGCATAGAGGTCAGACATAGCCGTCGATCAGGCATGGTAGAAGCCATGCACAGGGCCCAGCCGCGTTCCCGGCAAGCGCTGCTCCTATCGACGCCGCAAGAGACACATTGCGGGCCTGCCCTCCTTCAGCTGTCTGCGCGTGCCCAAGTACCGGGGCCAAGGTGCTATGCGGCGGCCCCCAAGCTTAATTCACTCTTCTTCTGGTCGCCATCAGCATTCGCGTCGCATTGCACATCTGCCTCTCCTGAGCCCTCTTGCCGTGAATTCTTGAATGTATTGACCCACGTTCTGCCAACCGACGGCGCGACGTCAAGCAATCCCTAGGCACTTGGCTACCGCGGTCCGGCCAGCAGGTTCCGATTGAACGCGCAGCCTGCCACCATGCCGCGACCTACATTTACCAGCAAGCTCTCGCTTCCGCACCGCCTCAAGCACCAGACCAGCTACACCAGCAACCCCAATTCCACCCCAACCTCTGTCCCCGCCAGCCGTACGGGGAGCCCCAAACTACGCGCCATGCCAGAGCAGCCAGTACCCGGCCTGGTCTTGAGGGCGAACGTCATCAAGGTGCGCCCGTCCATGTCTCCCCGGTGGAGCAGCCACAGCTGACATGAATGCAGGGCAGAGACCTCGCTGCAAAGGACCGGAGCGGCACTTCTGACCCCGTGAGTCCCTTCACAGGCATGCCACTGCCGCGAATGCCCCTCTAACCACCATGTCCACAGTACCTTGTCCTCTCGCTCGGCGACGAGAAATTCACAACTCCTACCATAAACAAGCAGCTGAACCCGGAATGGAACGAGTCGCTCGAACTGCCCATCCTCGGCGAGCAGAGCCTCCTGCTCGAGGTCGTCTGCTGGGACAAAGACCGCTTTGGCAAGGATTACATGGGCGAATTTGACGTCATACTCGAGGAACAATTCCAGAACGGACTCACGCAGCAGGAGCCACAATGGTTTCCCCTGCAGTCGCGGCGGTCCGGCAAGAAGAAGTCTGTCGTCTCCGGCGAGATCCAAATCCAATTCTCCCTCATCGACCCCGTCAACCTCGCCGCCACACCCGAGCAGATCCTACAGAAGTTCTTCGCCATCGCAGGACAAACACCAAGCCCAGACGAAGACGAGGGGGAGCTCCTCATGCGCGGCGACAGCAACCTCACCGACGCCGAAGAGGATGAGTCGAGCTCGGACGAGGCACAGGACGAATCAAAGAAGGCCGAGAAGCGGGAGAAGCGGAGGAAGAAGCTGAAGTTAGCCAGACTGAGGAGAAAGGTCAAATCCAAGACCGGCTACGAATACTCTAGCAATGGCGATATAGCTGGTGTTCTCTTCCTCGAGATTCAGAAATGTACCGACCTGCCACCAGAACGCAACGGTAAGTCTCCTGACCGCGTCCTCTTACACAAGCTAATGCATCCCTAGTGACGAGGACTACCTTTGACATGGATCCATTCGTTGTAACCTCACTCGGAAAGAAGACGTATCGTACCAAAACCATTAGTCATAACCTAAATCCCGTCTTTGACGAGAAACTTGTCTTCCAGGTTCTACGGCACGAAACCAATTACTCCGTCAATTTTACCGTCATCGACAAGGACAAGTTCTCGGGCAATGATTACGTTGGCACCGTCAACTTTCCCCTTGAAAAGGCTGTTTCTACAGCCCCACAGGAAGACCCAGAGACGGGGCTATATAGGTTACCTGAGCCATCAGACTCTCCTGGTCTCTCTCCTTCTGAATCCGGCAGTTCAAGGAAGTCCCGTTTCCGCCTCCCCATGTCTCGCTCTGCTTCAACTCACAGTCTATCTCGTCTGGGTCGGCCGTCTCTGAAGAAGGAAAGCTCGACAGGTTCACTCTCTGTACAAGAGCCTAACAATTCCCTGACTCCCAACAATGCTGCAGCCGATTCCAACGGTAATCTTGCTGTAGCCGGCGACGTCAACATAAACCCATCCGCCGCAGATGACGAGGATTTGAAGATGTACACACTACCATTGGAGTTAAAAGACAAAGAGCGCTGGGGCAACAAACACAACCCAACCCTCTACATTCGCGCAAAATACCTCCCGTACAAGGCTCTTCGACAACAGTTCTGGAGAGCTATGCTCAAACAGTACGACGCCGATGAGAGTGGTCTTCTCGATAAAGTAGAACTGACCACCATGCTCGATACCCTTGGTTCCACCCTGCACGAATCGACTATTGACAGCTTCTTCGATCGTTTCGCGGAGGCACATAATGGAGACCTTCTCCTTACATTCGACGAAGCCGTCATCTGTCTTGAAGATCAGCTGCAGGCCACAGAGGCAAGAGACGCCCAGAGGTCTGGATTTGCATCAGGCACACAGACTCCTTCGCTGGCGTCTGGAATGCTCACGCCCATCAATCAGAACAGCTCGACAACCTCCATTCCGGTGCTTGAAACAAACACCTTGGGTAGGGAAGGCGAAGAAGGCGACAACCTGCAGATCGACGATCTTGCCGACGAGAAGGGAGAAGAACATGTCATCGAGATCCGTGAATGTCCCATCTGCCACCAGCCGAAGCTGAATAAGAGGTCCGATGCTAACATTATTACACACATTGCTACCTGCGCCAGTCAAGATTGGAGACAAGTCAACAACATTGTCATGGCTGGTTTCGTCACCTCAAGCCAAGCACAGCGAAAATGGTATTCCAAGGTCATCACTAAGATCTCGTACGGTGGCTACAAGCTAGGCGCAAACTCGGCAAATATCCTTGTTCAAGATCGTCTTACAGGTCAGATCAACGAAGAGCGCATGAGCGTTTACGTACGTTTGGGTATTCGCTTGCTCTACAAGGGCCTCAAGTCGAACAATATGGAGAAGAAGCGAAGTAAGTGGCCAAGTGCTGTTGTTGTGAATGCATCATACTAATTTGTCGCAGTCCGCAAGTTGCTCAAGTCACTCAGTTTCAAACAAGGAAGGAAATACGACGACCCCGCATCAGCATCTGAGATACTGCCTTTTATCAACTTTCATCAGCTTGACATGTCTGAGGTGTTGTTGCCAACAGACCAGTTCAAGAACTTCAACGAGTTCTTCTACCGAGCACTTAAGCCGGGTGCACGTCCGTGCTCCGCACCTGATGATCCCAGAGTAATCGTCTCGCCGTCTGACTGCCGAACCGTAGTCTTCAATACGATCGACTCAGCGCAAGCCATCTGGGTCAAGGGTCGTGACTTTACCGTCGAGCGTTTGCTTGGTGATGCGTACCCGGAAGACGCGAAACGCTATCACGGAGGCTCTCTTGGTATCTTCCGACTCGCGCCACAAGACTACCATCGGTTCCACATACCTGTCGATGGTGTCATGGATGAACCAAAAACAATCGAGGGAGAATACTACACCGTCAACCCAATGGCTATCCGCTCAGCTCTGGACGTATATGGCGAGAACGTGCGCGTCGTAGTACCCATCGACTCCGTTGCACACGGCCGTGTTATGGTCATTTGCATTGGTGCCATGATGGTTGGCAGCACTGTCATCACGCGTAAGAAGGGCGACCATGTCAAGCGTGCCGAGGAGCTGGGCTACTTCAAGTTTGGCGGAAGCACATTGCTCCTTCTTTTCGAGCCCGGTCAGATGAGATACGACGAGGATCTTGTAGACAACTCGAACTCTGCCTTGGAGACTCTTGTAAGTCCAGTCATGCTTATAGTTAATCCGTGTTACTAATCTTGATAGGTTCGTGTCGGCATGTCTATCGGTCACAGCCCCAACAGGGCAGCTCATGTCCCCGACATGCGCAAAACCAACCCTACCAATGAAGAGAAGCAGGACGCGAAACGCCGCATCGAGGGTAGCATGGCACCTTCAGGCGTGAAAGGACCCATGCCTGGAGCTGGGATGTAGAATAGACTCCATTGCGGTGCATAGGAAAAGGAATACATAAAAGGACATGGGCAGGCTTGGATATTCAACATTGTTCTGGCGTGTGTCTAAGTGGAGTAACGAGATCATGATGGTATGGGAGCATACGGATCAGCGACATGGGTAGTCGCTTGTTCTCTGGCGTTTTTTGAGCGGCTTTGCTTTGACTGTCTACAAAGATGTGTCGTTTACGTACATGCAGAGCAGTTGGCCCGCATCCTACAACATCGTCTTTATCCCCTGAAAGGTTTGGATCGTTGGGCTCAAGTAGTGGACACTTATCCATGTGGGTGCACTAGTGCTTCACGTGAACACGCTAGTCCCAAAACCATTGTTTTGATGATGCTGGCGGCAGGTGCACACACCAACTTCCTTGCTCCCGTGTGATAACCGTTCCCCTCCACGCCCGTCGCCTAAGAATATTCGCATTACCGCCAAATCATTACGAGCCTGCGTACGGATACCGCAAGCATATACCTAATCGCACGCGAACCACCATCGTATATCCTGCGTAGCTCGCCCTGTCTACGCTCGCCCGTTTGTCGCGCCAATGCACGCGCTTTGACCGAACTTCAACTCCCCGAAACTCCCGTGACGCAGCAACTGGACTCATGACTACTATCTTCGCGCGCCCACCGCTCCAATCGCTTCCTATGGCCACAAACCGACCGACAACGCGACGAAGGAGCGCAAAACAAGCCTTCGATGACGACGATGCGCCGGCGCCAAAAAGAGCAAAGGCCGAGGTGAATGGGTCGAGCAAAAAGGCGACTGCTGCGCCAAAGAAGACAGCAAAGACAGCTGCATACGACGAGGACGATGATGGCTTCCAATTTTCGCGTCGCACGTCATCGCGAAGGACTACAAAGGCACAGGCTGCGCCAGCACCAGAACCGATACCCGAGGAAAGACCAACGAAGCTCGCGCAAGCTGTCGAAGCGCAACCCGTCAAATCAGCTGCGCGGAAGAAGAAACAATCAATCGCAGCAGCCGATCCAGAATCTTCAGACTCAGGAAAGCGACGGCGATCAGCGCGCATATCTGCCGACAGTAGACAGTTAGAGGTACGACCGAAGTCCACAGAGCCTCTTCCAACGAAAACTCGCACGAAGAAGGCTGCACCAGTAGAGAAAGAGAGGAAGAAGCAGGTCACACCCCCACCAGAAGTACAACCGCAGCCGAAGAGCACATATGGAGATGTACAAACACCAAGACACAATGAGATACAGGTCGCGAAGAAGCGCGATCCCAACGCCCAAAAGATCATGCTGCCTTTTGCCGACACACCAGTTATAACGAGAAACAAAGAGATGCGGAAGGGCGGCAACAAGGACGGGTCAAGAAGGAGTAGCACAGGCCTGCGAGGGAGGAGAGCAAGTTCGCTGATAGATAGCGGACAATCGAATGGTGAGTCTGAACACGATGCACAGACAAAACCCCCTAAGGGCATGGAAAAGCGCTTCCAGTAGGTAGTAAGTACTGACAAATTCGCAGCGCTACCCCATTCCGAAGTCGAAGTACGAGATTTCTACAAGTACATCGAGCAAAGTCTACCCGAACCACGGCGGATGAAGCAGCTTCTAACATGGTGTGGATCGCGAGCACTACCAGCGAAGCCATCGGGCGACGTCAAGAACGCGAACGCGATCATGGCTGCGCGAGCCATTCAACAAGAGCTTATAGACGACTTTGCAAGCAAACCTGAGCTTTCGGACTGGTTCAGCAGGGTACGTGGATGGGCTTCAGTAAGATATGAATTTGGGCTGATTGTTATACAGGAAGAAACAGCGCCACCACCTGTGGTGAAGAAGCCGAATCCCCAGAATGAGATGAACAAAGCCAAATTGGAGGAATTGGAAGACGAAGTCAAGCGGTATGTCTTGAAGTCCACTCATTACACGAACGCACCAGACTGACAGCGGAGTAGTCTCGAAGATGAGAAAGCCGCATGGGAAGCCATTGCATCAGCGTCGAAAGCTAGCCTTCCTCCGCCTGCACCTTCAATACCCACTGCGGCACCCACACTATCGGATATCGATACATCCCTCCTCGATCCCGAGCAAGCCGCCATAATTTCCTCCCTCCAACTATCACAACCACAGACCTCACCACAACCGCCGTCATCAGCATTCACATTCACATCGCCTACGGCACTACAATCACATCTCACATTACTCGCCAACTCACTAGAACCGCACATCGACCTCTTCGCAGATGGTGTTCATAAGATCGAGCAGTATCGCGCTACAGCAGAAAAGGTAGCGGATTGTGTGCTAGGGACAGCGGCAAAGAGGCTAGAGGAGCGAGATCGGGAGGCAAAGGAAAGAGTCGGAACAGAAGGAGTTGGTGTAGGCGACATACTGAGAGGCCTTGCAGGCGTACTCAGGGAGCAATAGATATGCAAGCGTTTATTGCAATCAAATACAAGAGTTACCGGCGGGAACGGATAAGGACTGGTATCCAGACAGACAATCGTCTTATGAGAATGATCTATGTGGCTCTTTCTTCGGCCTTTTCGCCTTATCCCAGAGACATACTTCGCAGGCATTTTCGTATGGTGTTCAGTGTGTGCGGGAATGGATTGGGAGAAAACGATATACCCTTCTGTTTTTTGGCCTTTCATGTAAATATTATTCGAGCAGGAATACCATCACACTATCTTGCTGCGCCGCTGAAGAGTCATGCACTTCAAGCAGAGTGCCAGAAATGTCATCGCGATTGCATGTGATCGCTAAAGTAAACCGAGAAACCTTGAAGCTACGGTTCCTGCTTGACAGATGATGATCATCCGTCAGTTCTTGCATTAACACAAGCCTTCGTCGACATTCCTATACTCAGCTCACTCCCATTTCACGTATATCTCTTCGCTGCCTCTCTTAGCTTCTAATGCACCATATAGCCAGTCTTCCAATCTCGTCTTCCAGATTCAACGCAAATCCCATTGTGATGCGGAGGAAAAGTACGCGCTCTTCCAGGTAGCGGAGAACGTCGATAGGAGTGTGCAAGAGTTGCTCCGACGTGCGGCCGAGGAGTTGAGACCATGCAGCGTCCGAGAGGATGAGTTTTCCAGAGCTAATCTGGCCGGTTTCGTCGAGGAGAGCACCGAGCTGGAAAGCATCAGGGATAGAACGAGATGATTTTCGAGAGGAATGGAGCCCACTTACTATTCTTGGATTGATCCTCAGTTTTACCATCCTACCACACTGCTTGCACTTAATCTCTATGTTGTTGGCGAAAATAGGGATTCCGCAGCATTCATTGCTCATGAGCATATTTCGCCTAAACGTCGTGACAATGTTAAGCTCTGTGACAATAACGCTGAGGTAGCCAGCAATAGTCTCCTTGGATCTTTTGTTCGAGAGCGAGCGAGCGACGTCATCCACATCCGCAAGTGTGTACAGTGCTCTTATGGCTGCAGTCTTGAAATCATCAACCAAACTATCAGCGATAGGAAATGGCGGATTGACATGTTCTTTCTTCGTCAGTTTTTGTGCTAGCGCTCTCAATCTCCGTGCATCACCCATGTCTGGGTCGATATCGATGCGTGAATTACCGCTCAGCGTGAGCTTGGCCATTTTCTCTATCCGCCATCCGGGGTTTGAGATCAGCAAAACTGTTTTCGAGGCAATGAAGAGAGGTGCAGAGTCGCACATGGAAGAGTACAAAGTAAGTTGACCGTCGGCCGTGTCGTCAAAGATACCGATGGAGATAAGTTCGGAGGTTGTGCCGTTGCGGTTCATGTCTGGTTGTTGAGTAAGCCACTGATAAAGACATGATCAGGTAGTATGGGGGATAGAAACCACTCACACTTTTTCCGCGCTCCGATACTCTTGACACATACCAGCAACTTCGGCTCTTCGACATCATACCCACCATCCGTGAAGCTCTTCAGCGTCATCAGTCCGGTCAACACCTTATTCTCCCGTATACCATACGGTCTCCTGTACCTCCTTCCATCATCACTATTCTCGTGCACCATAACATGACAGTTCCTATCGCCCTCGGGAAAGATGGTAGTAAACATTGGAGCAGTATTCGGAGCCAAGGAATTAAACTCAGACGAATTCGAAATATGTACCGTCCACACACTGAGAAGCTGGCCTAGCTTGAGTCTATACTGCGTGGTGTTATACCAAATGCGCACAGTAAGAACACCGGTATCGTCTGCAAGAAGGACCTTGATGCATCCTTGAGCTGCTTTGTGTGATTTGCTTGGTCTGGCTTGGTCAATGAAGTAGACGACGCGGCCCATGAGAACGAGGTTGCAGGGACCAGGCTCGAGTGTGCCTAGATCTGCTTCTTCGTAGTCAAAAGCGGGCTTTCTGTTGTATTAGCGGTGAGAAAACACGACTGTGTAAGGTGCATACAGCCCATGCACTTGTAGCAGTCGCTTCCGATGAGGCAAGAGCGGCATGAGCCTCTTTTGTGGCGAAGCCATCGTTATTCTTTGTCGTCGACGATGAAAAGTAAGACTGAATTGAGGGTGAGGCAGGCATTTTCTACCATGCAGGTCGGTGTTGAGGAGGTAAAGGCATTTGCAGTATTGGGGCTGATGTTGAGGTGAGATTTGAGACAGGAGCGTTCCTGCCGCTTCCGTGAAATGCAATATTCGCCTGAATCTCGATGAGGAAGTCGCACGACCCTGGAAGCCAAACTATTGTATATGCGCACATTTGAAATATCTGTACGCTTCGTTGTAGTGTTACTAAGTCGAATTGTGGCGCCAGAATGCAAGCACCATTTGACACGATCTGGTATTACTATCAGGTCACAAAAGATCAGGCAGAATTATGGTAAAACAGATTTTCTATTGCTTCAAAGAGAGTAATGAGTTGGTCGAGTCATGTTGTGAGCCACATGTGCCTCTAGAGCATCATGCGATATGTGCCGCCGTCCAGTTCCAATCGATATATTGGAGGCTCGCCACCGTCCATCGATCTAGAAGAGCTTATGCTCCAGGGTCATGTCGTTCTCCGGTTCAAGACCGACGCAGGCACGGAAGATATTAGTGAGAGCTGCGCGCTGCTTCGCAAGAGCATTGACAACAGGTGTGCCAGGAGGGGTGAGTGGAGCCTTGAGCATGTAGCTGAGGACACTGAGAACGCTGTGAAAGTTGTTGAACTTTGCATCACTAGCCTCGGCGCTGTGGGACTTCCACTGCACACGAGTCATCATCTCGGCGACGAGAACCAGATCGATGATCAATGGCGAGGCTAGGAGAGAGTCCTCGCAGACATTGAACAAGCTGATGGTCTGGTGGCCGTCAAGGAAGATCTCGGCGTAGTACTCGTCCAGGGCACGCTTGTCGTCTCCAACAGCGGGCATATACTTGATGACCACACAATGGTCAGGGTGCTCACCGTCCTTGTACAAGACGTTGTTCGCAGCGACCATGTCGTCGACGACGTTGGACTTGGAAATCTCCTTGGAGCGGAACTGCTTCTGGGAGCTAAGATTCATGCCGTCATTGTTGCCCAGGTGATTGTACGAGGCAATGGAGGTGAGCTTGATACCAGCGCTGATCATGAAGTCAACCAGAGCAGACTTCATCTTGGTTTGGCCAGACTTGAAATCGTCGCCCCCAATGAAGGCATTGTGCTGCTCAGCAAGCTGAATAGCACCAGGCACGAACGTGTTCTGAGGGGAGCCGTTGATGAATGGAACGCCCTCAAGAATCGAGGCAACGGCAAAGACAGTGGAAGGAGAGACCTCTTCGTGACCAGACTCAATAGCCTTCATCAGGTTGTCCGCCGTGTCGTTAACGCCCTCGATGATGTCGGCGTAGCGCTCAGTGTTAGCAGTCCATTGCACAATAACCTTGTCGAGATTGTTGGCAGCCTTGAAGTCACTTGATCATTGTTAGCGAGGACAAGAATGCAGTGTGGAAGCTTTCGACTTACCGGATGTCCTTGCGGATCTGCTCAACATGGGCCATGGAGGCCTTGGTACCCTCAAGAACATTGTCGGCACGCTCTTCTTGGTTGGCAGCAATGAAGTCCGGGTAGTAGATGCTAGGAAGGGGCTTCATAGCGCCCATCTCCTTACGCACAAGGGACTTCAGAGACGGCGATAGAACCTTGGCGCGGTCCATCGCTTCAGCAAGGTTCATCCCGCTAATGTCCCACCCACCGACGACAAGGTCGTTGGGGTGGACCATAGGCAGGAGGTCATGAAATGGAATGTGGATCTCCTGACCAGTCTTGCTATCGACGCCGAGCTTAGTGGTAGATCCCATGATGACCGAGCCATAGTAGTTAGCGCCGCGCTTGCCCTCCTTGGTCTCCCAAACGAGGTTTCGCTTGTTCGCGATGATACCAGCGGTGACCGTAGTGCCATTGTTGCCGCCCCAGCCAACCAGCATAACGCCGGTCTTGGGGATCTTGCGGTCGACCTTGAAGTCGTAGAGCGTCTCCTTGGGAATAGCCACATACTTGCCGTCGGCGTTCTTGGTAACGTCGGTGGTACGGTAAGTGTACTTTGACCTGATGGTTTCCTCGGTATACTCTACGTTAGGAGAGCTGACAACAAAGAGATCCTTGGGAGCCGTTTTCACATCGAACCCATTCGCGTGACCGACGCCGTCTTCTGCGTGTGGTGCCATGTTTACAATTGAAGTTCTTTCTGACTTGGTGAACTTAGTTGCGGAAGTCTAAATCCGACGCTGCCCCAGAGGGAGAAGTGCGTCGGCCGGCGAATGGGTTGTGGATCCTGCCAAATGTCAGTATAAAGCGTCCCCATGGGGTTATAGCGGGGCACATACGAGCTGAGGAGATTGGAAAACGTCTTGACAGCTGGGCAATGGCCCGGGGAAATCTGGGTGTGGTTGATAGAAGGGAGAGAGATTGTAAGCTTGACAGTCGGCTGTTATCTACAATCGGTGGTGTGTTGTGGTGGGTGAGGAGACATGGAGAGAAGTTGCGATATAAATGCCTCCCGTGTCCCGGCTGACTTAGCAATAATCGTACGCGATCGTTCCCGCCTGCTGCCGGACAGCGTGTTCACCCACCGCTTCTTTGCCTTTACCTTCCATACCCCCCACTTTTCGTACTAATGTACATCGCCGTAACCTTGTTCGGTATGTCCAACACCAATGGGCACGCAGCAGCAGTGTTCGCGATGCTCGCCATGCCCCACTATTTCTTCCACCATCCCAACATGCAGCAACAACAACCGCAGTAGGTATGGTGACTGTGTAAGCGATCCGGACGAGAGCGCTCTATGAGTCTCAAGCGAAGGCACATTGCATGGACAGCTGTCATCGCATCCTCGAGTGTACCGCTGTGGAATTTTATTATTTCCTCCTATGAGGTACCTGTATAGGCAGATACTACGTAGGTATTCAACAGATACGTACCCCGCCATCACGTGCTCCGTACTCCCGTAGAGGGGACCTCGG